TCGTGCAGTTAAGGACTCAGCACTTTTTATCGTGTGGGAGTTAACAAAGTCATGTTTTACTATTGTAGTTAGTGGAATCAAATATTGATTCGTTATAAATAAATAAATAATACTTCTATTTCATTCATACATTTAACGCAAAACACACACGAAAGCAAACAAAAAAAAAAAAAAACAAACAAACAAAAAAAATCATGGCATTCACTCTCCTGAAGAATATTTTACCCTTATAATTGAATTGTTTTATAATTGTTTTTTTTTTATGTGTTAATTTCAGGGATACCATATTCATGCTTTTATAAAAAGTTCCATATGGAGCTTTTTAGGCGCCATCTGAAGGAAGGAAGTTATTGAGGGATTGATTTATATGAATGTTACACTCGAAGAACTCTGTATATATTGCATAAATCGGTAATTATATTATATACATATTAAAAATAAAATATATATTTTAGTTATTGATGAGTAATTTGTATGAAGGTTATACTGAATAAAATCTGTATTTACGCATGACCAACTTTATGTCGTTGATTCACGAGTTACAAATGGGAAATGATTGAAATAATATTAATTTGTGATGATAAAAATACCTCAAAGACGAAGAACGTTGTATATAAGAAAGTGTTCAATAATATTTAACCGTTATGTTTGTATAAATTGCAAATGTTCTTTTAATATTTTTTTTCGTAGCTCCCGTGCATTTTGCACGGGCAACTGTACTAGTTCTTATTATATTTATTCTTATCCCTTAGTATTTTTTACCACGGTCTAATAATGCGACTACTTGTTTACCTTGAAGTAGAATGCCTTCTTCACCGAGCACGTGCTATGCCCGCTAAGTCGAGCTCTCCACAGGCCTTCCGATGGCCTTAGCTAGACCTGCTAGTGTTCCATCATTATGACATCGCTTCCGGCCTCTTTGACCTTCAACTTCCCTTCGACCTAGTGTTGCATCAGGTTCGTTTGATTCATTTCTCGGATCAACCGACCTCGTATTCAAATTTCGATTTTACAAAAAGTAGTACAAGTATACTTTAAAAAAATGCAAATTATATAACTATGCATAAAAAACAAGAATAAGCATGTGACAAAGAATATTTTCCTTTTAGTATTACATGGTTAATCTATGAAATAATTTCCACAATTTGACACTTTAAGAGTGAAATAATTATGTGAGTGAATTTAATGAAGTCAACTCAAGGTCATGTGTGTCGGTGTGTGTGTGTGTGCCTGCTCTTGCATAAAAAAAAATGATATGCATGTAAAATAACAATAATGTTGTACAAAGGTTCTTAAATATTATCATATTTTTACTTCTATAATATTATTCAAAGGGTGATCATTTATACATTTTTTAATATTGTGGGCAAAACATCTGAAACAATTGTTTTAATTTTTAACAAACATGAGAAATCGGATTTAAAAGCCTATATCCGATTTTTTTTTTTTTAAACCATTATCCAGCTGTAATGAGCTATGTAATATTGATGAAGTTGACTCTCACTCACTTCTTTAATGATATTCCAAGTCTCAATAATGAGTTGGAAAAAATTTAGGAAGTTTTTAAATTAGAGTGAATGCCGAAATTGTCATCAATCATGAGTTTTTGTCATCATGCTAATGACTTCAAAATAAACATATGCTATGCATCACAAAGTTATCAAAGGAAATATTATGATTTAAGGAAATGATTTTAATTCACAATTTCAGTTACATGTGAAGACTATAATTTCAAAGTTAGGGAGATAGTGAATGAAATTGGTGGATAGTTAAAAATACGTGAATAAATGAGTAAGTGAATTAAAATTGATGTGATGCATGATAATGATGGTTTCCTGGATCCGAACCGGCTCCCGTTGTCGGATTTTCAGGGAACCTGCACCGGAGATTGCTTTTCGACTGGTTGGCTGGATCCTAGCTGCGAGGATGCCGGCGGTAGTAGTTTCGTGCCGATGGCGGCTCTGGCCCAGTCGAGGTCGTCCGGATATCCAGTGGAGAAACAGAGGGCGTCGGGTTCCGCCGCCGCCATCGCTGTCGCTCGACCTCTGCCGCAGGACTCAGAGTGAGTATGCCTGGTATATGGTAAATGCATGTGTGTGTGTGTGTGATTAATCGACTTATGTTGTTTAATTATATTGTTAATATTGTTGAGAGTTTGAATGCATTAAATTTGAGTTGAATTTTGATTTTAATATATAAAAAATTGTTCAATTGAGTTAAATCAAATAAATTATTTTTCCTTTTTCTTTCGTGAGTGAGAAGCCAGGTATGTGGCTGCCCACATCGATTTTGTATGTCGTTCATTTGTGCTGGAACACCAATTTTGATCTATAAATTTACATATAACGATATAAAAGAAATTATGTCCCCAATTGAAACCACGTTTCAATTTCTCAATAAACGACCATGACTGGCCTTTGAATTACCGAATTTGTTTTAAAAAAAAAAAATACCGAATTTGTTAGTTAACTTGTAATTAATTTGATAATTGTAAATTATATACTTATTTATATATACACATAAAGATATATTTTCTCATCATGTACGTGATTTTACGTATGTGTTGTGTATTATAACTTTTCCTTTAACCAAAAGACACAATATCATTGTACGAGTGAACCTTAAAATTGGAAATATACCACTAGTCGTTCGTGTGCTCGAGTTATTTAAAAGCTCGTTTAGTCAGTTGTCAGTCCAAGCTTGTTTTGTTGAGTCTCGAGAATATAATTTTTGAATATATTGCTCGATTCCTTAATATTAATAAGCGATCTAAACTCAAGATTGTTAATTGCCTTGTTTAGTCTACGAGTCCAGCTTCGACTCGACTGAATTAAAGCTCGACCTAAACTCGAGCTTGTTGTATTAGTCCACACGTGTAATGGTGTGTGTTAAGGATAAATTCCGCTTGGCAAAATACAATCCGGTAAAATCTTAACTATAAATAACCTCTACCGTGGTAGTATTAAATAACACTTATTTCGGTAGATTGTTAATTGCCTTGTTTAGGCTACGAGTCCAACTTCGACTCGACGAATTAAAGCTCGACCTAAACTCGAGCTTGCTGTATTAGTTCACACGTGTAGTGGTGGGTGTTAAGGTCAAGGATAAATTCCACTTGGCAAAATACAACCCGATAAAATCTCATCTATAAATAACCTTTAACGTGGCAGTGTTAAAAATCTTGAGGGAGAGCTTTGTTGCCCTTGTAGTCCTACTCGACTCGATTTCGGATTAGCCAGTTCCTCTGTGGATTCGGAAACCGGAAGGTCCCTGTACCAAAAAAAAATAACACCTATTTCGGTCTTGTCCTTTTCTTTCATTTTCTTTTCCCTCATTTATTTATTTTCTTCTATTTCTTCGAGGATCCCCTCTTTGCTTCGATCGACAAACCCTAACTATATTGTCGATCACCTTTTTTTTTTTTGTTTTTGTTCTCAATTGATCAAAAATGCAAAATCAGAGACTGAAGCAGCAGCAGCAGCAGCAGCAACAGGCTTTGATGCAGCAAGCTATTCTCCAGCAGCAGTCGCTTTACCACCCTGGTCTCTTAGCTGCCCCGCAGGTTCACTTTCGGTTGGATTGAATTTTTCCGCACGATTTGATTGTGTTTTCCGTGGATTTTGTGGTGATTATTCGTGTCTTGTTTTTGTTTGATTCTATTGATGGACGTTCTCGGGAAAGTTAGGGATCGTTGTCCTGTTTTCTTATCTTTTTGTTTCAGTTCTTGATTTAAGTGCGGCGTCGTGCCATATTAGCTATTTTTGGCTGTTGATTTTTTGTTTTTGGCCTTTGCCCATTGAGATTAGATTTTGATTGGTAAATTATGAATTGGATATTCTGATTATAAGGATTTTGAATTTGGTGTCAGTTTCATATATGGTTAGTGCATCATCATTTTTCTAGTGATGATGTATCTTGGCTGGAATATGGACAGTTGCAGTTCCTAAAGCGAAATGTTACAGGTTTTAGACGATGTAGTGTTCTTTGTTTGTGAGTGTAAGCTGATTCAGTGAACCATGCATGTTTTGTTTTACAACTGGATGTAAGCTCCAAAGGAACATAGTTTATTGGATGTGGAAGTTACTGGAAGATTTGTGAATGCTTGCACGAATTTTAGTGTATGCCCTTGAATTGAAGTATGTAGACGGATTCAAGGAACAGAGGATCCAAAAAAAGTGTGCCTTCTGTTGTGCCCAACATGGGCTGAATTTCATTTGTGGTGTTTATAATGAAGTACGTAATGTTTGCTATCGGATGAGATGTCAGTCAATTTGCATGTGCTTAACTTTTAGAGATTTTATAACCTTTCTAGTTGTTGATGCTTTTCGATTGGAAGAGTGGATTCATTTTGCTTTTTTCACTCTCTTATTGGTTCCTGTTATCTTGCCATCAGCATCATTCTCACACCTGCATTCCGACACCTGTGCCTCTGCTTTCTTTTGTTGTTTTCTTTTCTTTTTCTCAATTTCATTTCCAATTTTTACCCTTGGGTGGATAGTTGGTATGGGTAGATAATATAGGAGGTCATTTTCTTTATTTTTATTATTTTTTCGTTTTCGCCATTTTATTTTGCAGATTGAGCCCTTCCCAAGTGGGAATCTGCCTCCTGGGTTTGATCCAAGTACATGCCGCAGTGTGTGAGTGTTCAGGGTCTTTTTTTTTTTTGGTTTTTTTCCCCCTCTCTTTATTATATCATACTTCCTGTTGCTCGAACATTTCTGCATTATGTAGGGTCAAAAAAGGTTTACTGATTAAAAGTACTGCTCTTTGCATAATTAATTTTGCTACATGTGTAGTGTAGTGCAATTTATATACAGTGCAGTCATCACGTGTGTTCGATTTAGCTGTTGCTTTTTTACCATCTCCAATTCTCAGCTAACTATTTGAAGTTTTGATGTATTTGTTTTTCTGATATGATATTGTAGTAACACCTTGACTAGGTTCTTATCTGATAAAATTCACTTTCCATGTATATTTTTTTTTTTTTTTTGTTTTAACTTCTAGATTTTCATTTTTGGAAAAAAATGCAGATATGTGGGAAATATTCACATACAGGTGACGGAACCACTGCTTCAAGAAGTTTTTAACAGTACTGGTCCTGTGGAGGCCTGCAAGCTTATTAGGAAAGAGAAGGTGACCCCAACTTTTGTAGTATCTTTTTTCTTGTAAATAGTGTCTTCAAAAGAATTTTCTTTTCTTGAGATGATATTGGCGAACAATTGTCTTTCTTGATATGAGCAGTCGTCCTATGGATTTGTTCATTACTTTGACCGAAGATCAGCTGGACTTGCAATATTGTCCCTCAATGGAAGGCATCTGTAAGTACAGATTATTAGTGTTCTCATTTGCAATTTTTTTTTTAATATGTAATAATTTTGGTTTGCAGGTTTGGGCAACCAATTAAAGTTAACTGGGCATATGCCAGTGGTCAGAAAGAGGACACATCAGGTGGGTTCACTTTTTTGTTTGTTCTATTTTATTTTATTTTTGTTTTGCTTGTTTTTTGAGGTATATATATAGCAATTCAGCAAATATGGGTCTAATTTCAGTTATTTTATATAGGCCACTTCAACATCTTTGTTGGGGATCTCAGCCCAGAGGTTAATGATGCCATGTTGTTTGCTTGCTTCTCAGTGTATCCTAGTTGCTCGTAAGTCTGTGTGTATGTGTGTGTGTGTGTGCGCGTGTGCGTGTGTGCATGCGCGCGCTTTAGCACATTGGGTCCAGATTCTTCAAATTTAGTTCTAAGATGGGAAGTGACCACATTTATGTATCTTGTAGTTTGTCAAAGTAAATTATCAAGTGCCATGTGCTTTAGTAGCTTGATGTTGGTGCTAATTGTCTCTCGATTTGTTTTAGTGATGCAAAGGTTATGTGGGATCAAAAGACTGGACGTTCTAGGGGCTTTGGATTTGTGTCTTTCAGGAATCAGGAGGTTTGTTTGTGTGACTTTATTCATATCGTCCAAATAATAATATCAGTGACTTAAGTCTTTGGGTTTCTTACACAGGATGCTCAAAGTGCAATAAATGATTTATCTGGTGAGAACTATTTTGAGTAATTTCGTTGTATCCTTTCCTTTTCTTGTTGTGAAATGTATTCTTGTTTTGCTTTGTCTTGCTGGTTTATTCATAAGAAATAATATTCAGTTGATGTGGCAACTTTTCAGGGAAATGGCTTGGCAGCAGGCAGATTCGGTGCAACTGGGCCACCAAAGGTGCTGGAACCAGTGATGAAAAGGCAAATTCAGATTCTAAAAGTGTTGTAGAACTTACAAATGGCTCCTCAGGTTAGTAAGTTGGGAGAAAATGTTAAGTTGAGTTGCATTGAGATTGCGATGACGGCAGAAACAAAATAAAAAAAAATAAAAACGAAGAAGACAGTAAGACTATAATTGTAACAGACTGTACTTGCATTTAATTGCATTCTTAGCTGCATTAAAAGCCTGATAAAGAGAAATAAGCCAGTTAAGTGATGTGATTGTTGGGATATTGGTAGATTTTAGTCAAGTTAAGCTATATTACCTACTTGAACTTTTCAACCTAACAAGTATATTTTTGTTGTAGCTCACGAATATGAGAAGTGTCATTAGAAGCTGAAGATCATAATATATTAAAAATACGTTGCTATTCCATTTTAGTTGGCCTTGTAATGTTTTCTGATTCCAGAGGTTTCACGACACCTCTCAAAACACACTTTATTACTAAAATGACAATTATTTTGTTTGTGTGTTTAACAAAGAATTTAATTGGCCTTCAAAATTTTTTTATCTTGTGTGTTTGTGTTACACTTGTCCATTGCATATGGAGCTGGAAGAGTCATTGTTGACAATTCTCCTGGCATAGTGCTAATAATGGACTAGATCAAAATGGCTCAATTAAATTCTAGTGCTTCTTCTATTAGTGAAGTTTCTAGAAAAAAATATATCAAACGATGCAACGCACCTTGGGTCGCTATGGAAACAGCCTCCTTGTATAATTACAAGGGTAAGGTCTGCGTACAACTGACCCCCCAGACCCCAACTTGTTGGGAATATACTGGGTATGTTGATGTTGATGTTGATGTGGTGTGTTTGTGTTACACTTCACTTTGAACTATTGACTCCGGTTTAGTTCTTTTATTAAATATTTTCTCCCCTTACAGATGATGTTAAAGAGGCAGCTAGTAGTGATGCTCCTGAGAATAACCCTCAATACACCACCATGTATGTTGGGAATCTTGCTCCAGAGGCGAGTACAAAATTTCTTTGACTGTAAACCATTAAAATCAGAATTTTGTGTAATACAAATGTTCACATTGTCTTGACTGTGTTTGCCAGGTGACCCAAGCTGACCTTCATCGCCATTTCCATGCGTTTGGTGCTGGATCAATTGAGGAAGTTAGAGTCCAACGAGACAAAGGGTTTGGTTTCGTTAGGTACAGCACTCATGCAGAAGCTGCTATGGCTATTTCAATGGGAAATACTCAGTCGTACATGTACGGCAAACAAATCAAGGTTTGTTTTCTTCCTTATTAGTATACGAATAGTTCATTTGCCTATGCATAAATTCTCAGGGATATTCAAGAATTTTGCTTCTACACTAAGACAGTGTTTGGTGAGCATATAAGCTAGGTTATTTGATTAGCTTATAAGCTTCCTTTAATCAAATAAATTTTTTTTTGGTAGAATGAATTTTTTTAAAAAGTTCGAGAGCTTATCTCATAAGCTTCCTTGGCTAACTTTTCAAATAAGCACATTGAAATTTTTATTTCAGCTAGCTATCAACTAATTTTACCAAACTCTTTTATCAGATAAGCTTGCTCTGTAAGCTCGAAATTCACTTAAAAGCTATAAGTTGGCTTATCAGTTGGATTACCAAACATAGCCCAAGTAACTAGAAGTAACTTTTTTGTAACAAGGATGATATAAAGAGTTGCCTAGCTTGAAATTACCCCCCAACAAAAAGTCTTCAATTGTGTGTTCAAAAATAAAAGACCACCTGTAGTATTTGTATTATCTAGTGTTGGAATTATTTATCTTATAGAAACACGGAATGGTAAGTGAACCATGTAAAAGACGAAATAAAATCTTTAGGGATACTTTCGAGCAATCCTAGAATTAAATTCAGAAAACCTGAGGTAATTCTCAAGGTAGATCTCGGCTTTTGTTTTATCTCTGTACCCCACTGGAAAAAATGTTACGACATGAGTTGGCTTTGCACAGTGTTCGTGGGGAAACAAGCCGACTCCACCCGGGACGGCCTCCAACCCTCTTCCGCCACCGGCTCCGGCGACCCTGCCAGGGCTTTCTGCAGCCGATCTTTTGGCTTACGAGCGGCAGCTTGCACGTTTAGGTCCTCAACAGCTCATGTATTATTAGTTATTTAATTTTTTTTTTCAGTCTTTTTTTCACTGTGTTTCGTTTGAAAACTTTGTTTAAGGGCCGTCTTGTGATCAAGCGCTAGTCGAGTTTTTGGTTTTTGCTTTTCGTTTTTCTTGTTTTTGTTGTTTCTCTCTTTTGTGACATTGTAGGATGTTTTTGTGAGGTTTTTGTGTTTAGGGATATTGGTTTCTGGGACTACTGTATGTTGTAATGTGTACTTTGTGTTCTGTTTGATGAGTGTCTTCTTGTTTTGTTCGACTTCTGTGCAATTTTTATCAAATGGTGCTGATTTTTTTTTTTTTTTTTTTTCATGAAAATTAAAATCCAGTAATGTTTTTTTATAGTTGATGCTTGAGGGTTTTAATATGTGGATGAGAAATAGAATTTTCCATTGCCCTTTGTATGCTTTTGCAGTTCCATAAGTTTGGACGAGTGGGGGGTGCCTGCTGTGCAATTTTAAACAGCACCTGCAGTGCACCTCTCCCCACCATTGGATCATGTTAGGGTGCACCCCACCATTGAATCATGTTACTAACATGAACCAATGGTGGGGAGGGGTGCACCGCAGGTGCTGTCACCGTAGGGCCGTAGGCACCCCCCATCAAAGTTTGGACAATGTTGTGTGTTTCAATTTAAAAGTAAACTAGTACTAATACTCATGTACAACGTGGTTGTTGAGTTATTAATATATGTGTAAAGTTAATTATGTTTAATACCAAACTTAACTTTAGAGCAAAAATAATATAAAAACACTACGAAGTATAGATTTTTGCCATGTCTGCATCTGAAGCGTGAGAATCTGCCACCTAAGCTCAACACGTTTTGAATTAATATATATGGAAGGATATAGATTATTCAGTAATATGAAAATGGGCGGTTTTGCTATAAAGCCAACAGTTGGCTCCATAAAATTTTGTGTGTGTGTGTCTCTTTTTTATGTAATTAATTCATTTATTATTCAGTCGATTAAAACATGAAAGAGCATTTATCATCAAATTATTGCTAATATTGTTTATACTCTTTTTTTTTTTTTTTNTTTTTTTTACGAAATGGAACATATATAAATAAAACTCAAAGAATATGTACAGAGGATGTGTACTCAGACACCAAACCTAACTGTCATAATGCAGCTAAGTGATAAAAGGGACAAACCCCACAAAAACTAAGCAAACAGAGAAGAAGAGAAAAAAAGGGGAAACTATACAATAGACTAAAACAAGCCAAAATACCAAGAAACAGCTAAAGACAACAACAAAGCCAACTAAACTAAAGACTAAATGCAACTGCAAAGATAGATGAGGATCAAGTAGGTGGTATGCCACTGAACCATCAGCACAAAGGAGATCACTCACTTTGTTCATTCTCAGCCTGTCAGAAATAAAGCCTGACAGGAGACCAAAATTTTGCTGTTGAACAATCTATTTATTATTTACTGTGAATAAATATTTTTTAGGACACTATCAATTTGGTCGAAGATGAAGTGTGTATGAATAAAAAAAATATTGAAATAGTATTTATATTTGATTGAATAGTTTAAAAAATGCAACCAAAAGTATGACAGTCGTGTATAAAAATTTAGATCATCCTTATCTCCAACCCATCCCAACTTAATAATTAAAAATTATTTATCTCTTTTCCACATACACAACTCAACCTTCCAACCTAATTAATCTCTATCCCCAACCCAACACAACCTCAATATTTATTTTAATTTAATTTAATAAAAAATTATAATTTTTGTTCCATAATATATCAAGTGTGGTCTCTATTTGTAGAAAATGGAAAAAAACATGAATTTTAATATCTTTTTTATTTTTTTAAATAAAAAAATACACTTATCCAATTAAAATGAGACAAGTGTCCTATTTTCCTACACTATACAGGTCGCGACCCAAGGTCACAATGTGACTTGGGTCGCTCAATTTTCACGCCCTTCACTTTTTGTTTTATTTTTTTATTATGTTTTTAATTGGTGACCCACAGGTTGGGTCACCGTTAAAGCTAGTCTTATCACCTCATGACTTTTATGTTACAGGTTAAATAAGCCGAACGTTTATCAATATGACTAAACTTGTTTGACAAATGAGAGCTGAACTTGAGACTTACCTCATTTGGTAAACGAGAGTTGAACTTGAGTTGGTTTGATAAAGGAGAGATAAACTTGAAACTTACCTCATTTGGTAAACGAGAGCTGAACTTGAGTTGGTTTAGTATCGAGTATCGATACTATTTTAACTCGTTAAACTCGTTTGATAAAAGAGAGCTGAACTTGAGACTTTAATTCGTCTGATAAACGAGAATTGGACTTGAGTTGGTTTAAAAACTGACACTATTTCAACTCGTTAAAGCTCATTGGACATAAGACATATGCGTCTTCAAATTATTACTTATTAGGTTAGCTCAAAACTCTGAGTTAAATTTATTATTTTTGATAAATAAGCTTAATTTAAGCTCAATTTGAGTTGGATAACGTAACAATATAAATGGAGAAGATGAACTGGTATTGACTCAAGTACCGACAAACATCATCCTTAAACTAATGACTAATGAAAACAATGCGGGCGGTGGGAACTGGCCGCGGCACCCGTTAAACTTGGATTTGGTGGTGCACTAATTTGTCGAGGGGTTATAGGCTAGTCGGCCGTTGACGCTGCTTACTTTTGCAGAACTAGCTCTGGCGGGCCATGAAAACCGGTCTCACGTTGCTGGTCAACATAACACGTCGACTCCATTTCACTCCCCCTCAGCCCCTCCGCCGCTATAACCACACCATGACCGCCGTTGCCTACACTCTACCGCCGGCGGACCTCTTCACCACCAACAATTACATTAACAGCCTAGCCAAAAGCGGCCAGCTGCATTTGGCCAACAAAGTGTTCGACAAAATGCCTCAGAAAAACGCAGTTTCTTGGACGGTCCTCATTTCGGGCTATGCTCAGCATGGGAAGTCCGATCAATGCTTCCACTTGTTTGGTCAGATGATATTCCATTTTAGGCCCAACGATTTCGCTTATGCGAGTGTGCTGTCGGTGTGCGACCGCCCGCGTGGCCGGCAAGTTCACGGGCTTGTTCTGAAAACCGGTTTCGGTTCTTGGATTTATGTTGCTAATTCTCTCGTGGCCATGTACTGGAAGAACAGTCGTGATTCTGGTTCGGAAGCTTGGAGGGTGTTTGAGTCGATGGATTTCCGTAATCTTGTTACTTACAATTCAATGATTTCAGGGCTCGGGATGCATGAAGAAGGTGATAGAGCAATGGATTTATTCATTAGAATGCATCATGATGGGATCAAGTTCGATTGTGCTACAATATTGGCTTTGGTTTCTTCGTTATGTGGATCAAATGAAGGTGATAATCGGATTTTGGGGCTTACATGTTGTTTGCAACTGCATTCTTGTGGTATTAAGACTGGCTTGGTCCTCGATGTTGGGGTCAAAACTGCTCTGATCAAAGGCTATTCTGCTCTCGCTAGCGAATTTAGTGGTTGTCTTAAGTTGTTTATGGAGACGAGTGGTAATGATCGCGATATTGTTCTGTGGACTGGAATTTTGACAGCTTGTGCCGAATGGGAACCTCAGCAAGCCCTAATCTTTTTCAGTCAGATGCGTCGCGAAGATTTCAGCCCAGATTGTTACGTTTTTTCAGTAATGCTAAAAGCTTGTGCAAACTTGGTGACCGGAAGGACCACCTCTGCATTCCATTGTCAAGTGATTATTACAGGTTTTACTAATGTAATTGAGCTAGGCAATGCTTTAATTCATGCCTACTCAAGATGTGGTTCGATATATTGTGCAGAGCAAATGTTTGGTGAAATGCCCAAAAGGGACATAGTTTCTTGGAATTCAGTGCTGAAGGCCTATGCAGTGCATGGTAAGGTTGATAAGGCGCTTGATTGCTTTCGAGAAATGGACGTTGGTCCCGATGGGACCACGTTCGTTGCCCTACTCTCTTCATGCAGCCATGCGGGTATGGTAAAACAAGGAAAGAATTTATTTGATGCTATGAAAAGTAAGTATGGTGTAGTTCCGCAGCTCGACCACTATGCATGCATGGTCGATATTCTTGGCCGGGCTGGACATGTTTCGGAAGCCGAGAGAATCATAAAGGAAATGCCTATGAGGCCCGATTATGTCACCTGGAGTGCTTTCCTTGGTGCGTGTCGTAAATATGGGGACGCGAGGGCAGCAAGCCTTGCGTCGTCAAACTTGAAGGAATTGGATCCCGAAAGCTCACTGGGGTATGTTTTGACTTCGAATATTTATTGCTTGTTTAGAAACTATGATGAAGGTGGTTCCTTGCGAACGAAAATGAATCATATTGGGGTTAGAAAGGAACCGGGTTTGAGCTGGACAGAGGTGGGCCACCGAGTCCATGAATTTGCCTGTGGGGGTCATCGGCACCCACAGATTCGAGAAATTCGTGCAAACATGGAGTTTTTGTTGAGAGATTTGAGGAAAATTGGGTATGTCCCCGAGACGAGTTTGGTGTTGTTTGATGTAGAGGAAGAGCATAAAGAGGAGCAGCTTTATCAACATAGTGAAAAGCTGGCATTGGTTTTCTCCTTGACGACTGCTGGTAATTCTAATTGTGATGTTATTAAGATAATTAAGAACATTCGGATCTGTTTGGACTGTCATAATTTTATGAAATTTGCTTCGAAACTTGTCCGTAAGGTGATTGTAGTGAGGGATGCTAACCGTTTTCATCATTTTAACGAGGGAACCTGTTCTTGCAATGATTATTGGTGAATGTGTACGCTTTTGCGGTCATACAATGGTATATCAATGACAAACTGATGTTTTCTCTATAGAGCAAAATAGGAAACAGTACACATGTGTTACACATCAAAAGAGCCATTATTGGGAGCCAAATTTATTCTGCAAGCCGACTGAGGGTAAATGATGATCTTTTCAGACATTGATTTTGCATTTGGTTTTATTGCACTTGGACACGCAGTCACTCATCGCCTTCTCATCTGCAAAAAACGAAACAGCAGATTGGAGAAACTTTGCAGGGAGGAGACCAAAAGCCCGAGTTTAACTTGTAAGTGCGTGTGTGTGTTGGAATTTAGAAAGAAAGAAAGAAAAAAAAAGCGGTTACCTTTAATAAACTCGGCACAAGTATTGAGCATGCATCCAAGATTACAGTAATGCTGTTTAGTTGAAATTTGTTGAGAAAGGCAACGGACCGGACAGTATTTGGTGCAGATGGCAACATCAATACCGCCAAGTGTGCATTCTGCCACACAATGCTTAATGCAAGTTCCTGGCGGGAAATGAGAGGTGACTGAGCGAACACTAAGCATTGCCATTAGCAGCATAAGCCCGGTTATCATTTGGATTCTTTTACTCTCCATTGAATAAGGGACTGTATTGTTGGCTTATCTCTGTACTGTTGGCTTAATGGATGAAGAGGAAAAGGGTTTTTTATAGCCATGTGTACTACATAAAATGGCTTAGAAGTTAGAAGCTCCACAAGCATGTATACATGGCCGTTGGTTCATTTACTTCATATGACAACACCTTGCTTAAGTTGTGATCAATGAGACTTTCCCTACTTCTGTAATTCATGATTATATCAAGAGGATAATCAATCCACCATGACATGACAGTATGTGATCTCGTCTGTTGTGGGATTTGCACATTACAACGTCAATTAGAAGAAAAAAAACAGAGCACACACCAATTCTCGATAGATTTTTCTTTCTACCTGTAAATATCTCTGTGCCCATGTCTCCAGTAAATTGAATCTCGAAGATCAAAATCTTTGATTAAGAATTATTCCAAGTTATGGGGATTTCGTTTAAGGTCTCCAAATCCTTTCCACCCGAAGCTACCACCGGCAAGCGCTGCCTCGTTTCCCGTCGACAGAGAGAAACCGGATGACGTCGTAGCTGGGAGTTCGAAGAAAAGAGATGGCATTTCGCTGTCTTCTCGTAATCTGGCGGTAATTGTTATATTACATGAAGCTTCAAATAGCAATTTATTGGATAAAATATATATATATATATATATATATATATATATA